TATATATATATCTTCAACTGTACTTGGCCTAAGCCCAGAAAGCAAAACTTTTCAGGAGAGAGAAAAAATCTGTTACATTCTTTTAACAAATCTATCTACATTATGTGTTGTTGTTTTTCTTTTGTCACCATTTAAAATTTGAATTCCGACTAAATATTATTTCTAGAACAAATGTAACCGATACCCTAGATTGGGAAACTGTAATAACAAAAAATGCATCATTTTGGGCTTAGTACCCCTGAAAATGATTATGAAGATACAGACCTGAACGTACATCCAGACAAGACCAAGATACTAATGATCAACTCGCAGGGTTTGAGGCGATTTTTTTTACCTGTATAGGTTCTGTCTTTCCAAAAGGACTTCTTTTTGCAGAAAAAGATAACAGCGATAATAACAGCGATGATAACGAGCGCCAATAGAGCGATAACGATGCCCAGCGCGATGACAAGGGCGGAGGAAGAAGAGTCATTGTCCGGTGGAGACTGCTGTGCCTCTGTAGAGCCCGCTGGTACAGAAGGTGTTGAGGTCGGGTTATGAGCACACACCTAAGGGTACAACAACGGCACAGTGACCACACAGCAAAAGCACAATTATACATGTATACTTAGCGTCAATAAAAACCAGACACATTTTAATTGCGTGTTTCATGAAAAGTTGAAAACCCATTTAGCTGAAATTTTCTACACGTGATTGTGAACACTTGACGCTCCTGATCAGCCTGCATTTATGATAAGGTGCCCAGTTAATAAAGCTCAAGTCTTGTTTTGTTATAAACCGTGTTTTGTCATTTTTCTCGAACGTTTTTGGATTTTTTATTTTATTTTATGGGTTTAACACATCTTTTATGTGTAGCCAAGAATAAAACGTTAAAAGTTTCATTTCAAAACATCTAAATCTAAAGATACAGCATGTCGCGTTTAACGAACTCGAAGAGCGCAATCAGGCAGTTGGTATGCTGAGGGCCAATACGCCGGTAGCGAATGTTGCAAGCACCTTCAATGTGACAAGAGACACGATATATCGACTAATGAATCGTTTGCAGACGTCTGGATCCGTGCAGGATGGTCCCCGGACGGGTCGTCCTAGAGCAACGACACCAGCCCATGACCGGTACATTCGGGTCTTGCACCTACGAGATCGCTTCCGGCCTGCTACCAAGACAGCCAGGGAGTGGAAGGGACGGAGAACCATAAGTGCGCCGACGCCTTAGACCTCAGCCGGTCACCTTGGATCAGCTACGTACAGCACTTACAAACATATGGAACAACATTCCACAGCATCCCATACAAAGACTTGTGCGAAGCATGCGACAGAGCTGCACAGAAGTCGCCAATGCCCACGGCGGCTATACGCGGTATTAACTGTGACTTTTCATTTTAGGGCCTACAATTAAAAGATCAAATTTCAGGAAATAAGGTTCATTTTTAAAAATTGTTTTAAGTGTAATTGATTTGTAAAATGTTCAAACCTTCCTTATAGAGAGATTGTTTCTGGTTAAAATCAGTCTTTCAATACAAAAAACACTAAAAAAGGGGTGTCTGGTTTTTATTGACGCCAAGTATATTACCATGCTCAAAAACAACTCAACAACAACAACAACAACAAAAAAACAACCCCTCGAAGCAAACCAACCCCCCCCGTAAAAAAACCCCAACAACAACAACAAAACAACAACAAAACAAAGCAAAACATACAGAAAAAGAAAAAACCAACAACAACACACAAACAACCCCTCCCCAAAAAAACAACAACAAAACAACAGCAACAACAAAAACAACAAAACACATAAACAATCCGACTCACGGTTGCCACGTTACCACTTCGTTACAAAACAATACAATAACGGTAAAAGTACTACTTAAAACTTATTACAACAGTAACACATTTTATCATTAGAACGTTCTTTACTTGTACAAGTAAAGAAGTAATTTACTCGTCAGTTGTCATCTTGAATAGAACGTTAATATATTAATATATAATAGCGACAAGAACATTCGGGGGGGGGGGGGGGGGGGGACTTTTGCAGAAGACATTTGTGTGTGACTGTAATTATTGAACAGTAGAAGGCATGTAACCTGGCTTATGTCAATAGGCTTCGAAATTCGACCCCTTGCAAATTAATTCGCTAAATTTTAATGTCAACCGTGAGTAACAATCACGGCAGATCAACATTCAGATTCATGGCATACTTGCATACTGACGTTTGTGGTGAAGCAGTTAGGCGCTCGCTGTAGCTCACAGGAGATAAAAGTTTGATTCCCAAGAGAGGAGAATTTTTATCGAGTATCTCGGTTTTTCTGCTGGGATATTGTATCCTTCTTAGCCGGGTTGGCCCTGATAGGTAGGTTCAGAGGCCCGCCTCCTAAATGATCTAAATTGTGTCGATGACTTTATCATAGTAAAACACCTTTAAAAATGAGAACAGGCATGTCTTTGAGCAAAATCCTTTAATAAAATCTGTTTAATTTCATACAGTCTTAAATAAAATGGCTTGTCAATTTAATTTCATCAATCCTGTCTATTTAACTTTATCATAGTTTTAACGACTCTCACTTTGCACGAAGACTGGTATAGGCAGCTGGAAGTGAGCGAGTCCACCTCACGTCCGGTTTCCCCATAAAACTTGACCTTTGACCAGTCCAGAGAGAGTTTCTGTGAGTTTGTGTAGTTTCCAACCTGTAAAAACCATGATACTGTCAAGTTTTGCTAAAGATTTGACCAGGTGAACTAATACTTGACTGGACCGATTCTGTGGGCGTTCAAGGTTAGAAGCGACATGAATTCAAGAAATTACTTGAAGGATGAACTAAATCAAAACGTTGTTTATAACAGGACGGGACAAGGGCTTTGTGTGGCGTTTACGAAGGAGGTGTAGGGTGAGGACTAGTTTAAAATAGATCCTCTGGTCGAATGAAGTTGAACTAGGGCTTATGTTCGTGGTTTTCTTGGAGGGCTATTAGTTTTAGTTTTAGAAGAGGTTTTACGGCACTCACAACTGCATAAGGTCATATGAACGCCGAGGGGTGGATGTCAAGAGAGAAGTCCTTACAGGGAATCAGACTTACTCTGCTCACCTCTCTAGCTTCAACAGAAGAAAGTCTGCTTCGACTATCAAGGCACCCCGGAAATAGTGGGTCACAAAAGTGTGACAAACATACATACACAAGAAGTAGAGGAAAAAATGACAATAATAAGGATTAGGAATGAAAAAGCAGCAGTTCCCTTTTGTAGATCAGGCACAGTTATGAGCGTGACATTTATGAATCAGCCCATTTACAAAACTACAGTGCATGAACAAGAAATGTCCCCTCTATGGGAATGGCCTTTAAGGACACTTCAGTCAGTGGCACCGCTCCGGGGGGTTTGGAGGGCTGTTGAGCTGAGAGTGAATATATAAGCGTGAAAAGATAGGGTGGAGAAAATTAAAAGTAGGTTCTTTGTCTTGTACTTATACACCCTGTTTTTTTAATATTGAATGATTGTGCTTTTTAGCAAATGAAATGATGAAAACAGTGGTTCTTTTTTTGTCACTTTAAAGACAATAAGTGTCCTATGGATAGTCAGAAAGCTACAATCAACATACCAGCTTGTACACAAAAGAACTCCCTTCTGGTTGAACGCTGTAGATTTCAAAACCCCCGTTTCCATTGCCATCGGGCAGGAAAGGGCTGAAGCTGAAGCCGGTAGAAGACTGCAAATTTACATTTCGTATAGCTAATGTGATCTTCTCAGGGTCAAAGGGCAGTCGTTCGTTGGCATTAAAAAGAGATCTGCAGAAAGAATACAACAAATCTTGTTCCACTTTAAAAACGTAGAATACACATTGCATTTTGAAAGAAAAATTAGTTTCACGTTTACATCATGTTAAACATATTATGGTAGAAACACACACACACACACACACACACACACACACACACACACACACACACACGCGCGCGCACAAACACACAGCCACACAGACTCACACATATACTGACATGCAACGAGAGAGAGAGAGAGAGAGAGAGAGAGAGAGAGAGAGAGAGAGAGAGAGAGAGAGAGAGAGAGAGAGAGGGAGGGAGGGATGGAGGGAGGGAGGGAGGGAGGGAGGGAGGGAGGGAGGGAGGGAGTGAGTGAGTGAGTGAGTGAGTGAGTAAGTGAGTGAGTGAGTGAGTGAGTGAGTGAGTGAGTGAGTGAGTGAGTGAGTGAGTGAGTGAGTGAAATCAGTGTTTAAGGCCATTGGCCCACATCATATCACATAAAACACTCATTTGATAAGTAAAGTTTCCATAATGAATAAATACAGGTTGTGCACATATCTTTTATTATGGGTCGGGCATTGCATATTTCTGTCAATGGGCCGAGTCAAGCTGGGAGGGATTAACAATTTCCTTTGATGAACAAAGTGAGAACAATAAAAAATAAAATGAAATTCATCTTCAATTTCATGAGAGTTACACCTCTCACATAAGGGCGAATTAGTTAATTTCCACCCATAGAGATTGTTATTTAATGGAAGGCTATGGGTTTTTAACAAAGCTATGACTCTTCTGCTCCAATACCGTAGGAGGTTGGTGATATATTCAGCTGTTTCTTGAAACGGAATTGTAAGAGAGAAAACATTATACTTCCGACAGACTTCTTTATCTATGTTCTGCACAGAATGACCAACAAGTCTACCTTTTACTTCACTGAGAAAGAGTCTAGTACTTCCAACATTTTGAGAAAACCAGGCATATCCAAAACCCAGGGAAAATAATAGGTTTTTAACTTCCGTAGCCCAGTTGACTCTGCCCAGTTCACAGGAACGATATAATTGCATGTAACATTTCTTTGGACATCTGCTATTTTCTAAGTGTATAAGTCTGCACCAGAATTTAATGACACGATGCATGTAATCAGAACATAAGTTTTGTTCTCCCCACTTCTCTTAGAACTAAACATTTGGGTGTAGTTTTGCCAAGACCCAAAAAGGCTTTCCAGAACTTTACCTGAACATTATCAATCACGTCCCAATTTTTGGTATCCAAAATTTCAGAGCCATAACGCAGCATTGGTTTAATCTTTATATAAAAAATGTTTTTTGCAGTTTCAAAATTTAATTGTTGGTAAGAACCAAAAAGCCTTCTTGTTCGAGAAACAATCCTTTGAGCTTTACAAGCTCGATCTTCCAGCGTTCGTCTCAGCATAGACGCGATGAAAATGAAATGCCCTAGTAACTTTAACAGGTTACTGTCGCTCAGATCTTACCCTCCCAATGCCCAATACCATCTCTCAGATCTTTTGAGATAGCCTCCATTTCTAAAAACAACAATTTTGCTTTTCTCTGTATTCACATTTAAACCCCACATCAGGCAGAAATCATATAACATATTGATTTTCTTTTGTAAACCTCTGACATTGTCAAAAAGACTTAGATCATCAGCGTACATTAAACATAAAATACCATCATTGTAATTGGGTAATATCTGTATACCATGGGTATTTGAATCTGAGAGGTGTTTTTTCAAATTGAGATACAAACAAAGAAAATAATATAGGGCTAAGTATGCAGCCTTGTTTGACACCTGATGTACATTGGAAGTATTCAGTAACATAAGATTTCATGGATCCTCGTTCATCTGAACAGACTTAAGCTTATGAAAGAACACTTTAATACATATTTTTCAAAATGGTATACATTGGTCCAGAACAGCCAAGACTTTTCAATACTGTCCAAAGCTTTTCTTTGTCAGCCCAGTCAAATACTTTAAATAAGTCAACACATACATAGAACCTTCTGCCAGGCTTGCAGATATATTTTTGGACTAAAGATGGAGTGAAAATATATGATCTATTGTAGAGTAATTTCGTCTAAAACCGGCCTGAGATTTAGGGGTGAAGTTACCTTCATCACACCATTGTTGCAGTCTTTTATATAATTCCTTTTTTTGTGCAAACATAGACTTGGTCCACTCCGCCTGTGAAGAAAACTGAATTGAAAAGAGAAAGGAGAAATTCAGCCAGGCCCTGGCAACCGAATTTGTAAAATTCCGGCGATAGGCCGTTATTACAATTATTAGAGAGAGAGAGAGAGAGAGAGAGAGAGAGAGAGAGAGAGAGAGAGAGAGAGGGAGAGAGAGAGAGAGAGAGAGAGAGAGAGAGAGAGAGAGAGAGAGAGAGAGAGAGTGTGTGTGTGTGTGTGTGTGTGTGTGTTGGTGAGAACAGAACTCACTGAACAGCAGTCCCAGCGCTCATTGTCGCAATAGTGGAGTGAACAGACAACGGAGACGTTGTCAAATCTTGCAAATCCTGGACACTGGAACAGGAAACAGCACATGATTAATGTCAAAAGAAAAGAAAGACCACAAGTAAACAAAGAATCTAATCTTGTAAAACGAAATAAAGGTTCAGAACGGACGAACAGGTAAACCAACAGGTTCTAGTTTTCGGACTCATCGAAGTTCAAAGATCGCATCTGACTTCGACCCAATATTTTTCATTGGTTGCTGAGCCTGTGTTGCAAGCAAAGTTCTCCTATCTATTGCGCAGGGACCATACACAAATATTGCTAAGAATCTAGGTGTAAAAAAGATTAATACTGTTAATTTTCAATGCTTTCGGAAATTGTGGTATATTTGGCTTTATAGTACTACACCAGGTATAAACGGTTGACTCTGCCCAGTTCACAGGAACGATATAATTGCATGTAACATTTCTTTGGACATCTGCTATTTTCTAAGTGTATAAGTCTGCACCAGAATTTAATGACACGATGCATGTAATCAGAACATAAGTTTTGTTCTCCCCACTTCTCTTAGAACTAAACATTTGGGTGTAGTTTTGCCAAGACCCAAAAAGGCTTTCCAGAACTTTACCTGAACATTATCAATCACGTCCCAATTTTTGGTATCCAAAATTTCAGAGCCATAACGCAGCATTGGTTTAATCTTTATATAAAAAATGTTTTTTGCAGTTTCAAAATTTAATTGTTGGTAAGAACCAAAAAGCCTTCTTGTTCGAGAAACAATCCTTTGAGCTTTACAAGCTCGATCTTCCAGCGTTCGTCTCAGCATAGACGCGATGAAAATGAAATGCCCTAGTAACTTTAACAGGTTACTGTCGCTCAGATCTTACCCTCCCAATGCCCAATACCATCTCTCAGATCTTTTGAGATAGCCTCCATTTCTAAAAACAACAATTTTGCTTTTCTCTGTATTCACATTTAAACCCCACATCAGGCAGAAATCATATAACATATTGATTTTCTTTTGTAAACCTCTGACATTGTCAAAAAGACTTAGATCATCAGCGTACATTAAACATAAAATACCATCATTGTAATTGGGTAATATCTGTATACCATGGGTATTTGAATCTGAGAGGTGTTTTTTCAAATTGAGATACAAACAAAGAAAATAATATAGGGCTAAGTATGCAGCCTTGTTTGACACCTGATGTACATTGGAAGTATTCAGTAACATAAGATTTCATGGATCCTCGTTCATCTGAACAGACTTAAGCTTATGAAAGAACACTTTAATACATATTTTTCAAAATGGTATACATTGGTCCAGAACAGCCAAGACTTTTCAATACTGTCCAAAGCTTTTCTTTGTCAGCCCAGTCAAATACTTTAAATAAGTCAACACATACATAGAACCTTCTGCCAGGCTTGCAGATATATTTTTGGACTAAAGATGGAGTGAAAATATATGATCTATTGTAGAGTAATTTCGTCTAAAACCGGCCTGAGATTTAGGGGTGAAGTTACCTTCATCACACCATTGTTGCAGTCTTTTATATAATTCCTTTTTTTGTGCAAACATAGACTTGGTCCACTCCGCCTGTGAAGAAAACTGAATTGAAAAGAGAAAGGAGAAATTCAGCCAGGCCCTGGCAACCGAATTTGTAAAATTCCGGCGATAGGCCGTCAGGGAGAGAGAGAGAGAGAGAGAGAGAGAGAGAGAGAGAGAGAGAGAGAGAGAGAGAGAGAGAGAGGGAGAGAGAGAGAGAGAGAGGGCGAGAGGGCAAGTTAGCAAGAGAAAACCAGACAGTTTTATATGTAACTGGTAAAATTAGTTTTTTTCCGGAATCGGTTACTTTGCTGCCGACACCATCTTAATGTTGTGCGGAAGATAATAAAAGACGTAGCATGGCGCCAATCGTAACACACATCAAAGAAAAATTTCGCTCAAATCCATTTTCTTAAAATATTCAGGAATGGTATACATCAATTGGAAATTTCTTGCAAACCAGGAATCAATAAGTTCAAATATATTTCTAGAAGACGACGTTTTATTCTTTTGTTAGTAGATGCACATGTATAATAATAATAATAATGATGATAGTAATATTAATAATAATTATTATTATTATTATTATTATAATCATGATAATA